CAGTATCCCTGCCATGAAAACTCCATGGACAAAGACAACAGGCATATAAAAATTATGACGCTGGAAGATGAGCCCCTCAGGTCGGAAGGCATCCAACATGCTACTGAGGAAGAGCAGAGGACAAGTACAAGTAGATTCAGAACTGATGAAGCAGCTGGGCCAAAGCTGAAAGGTCGCTCAGTTGCGGATATGCCTGGAAGTGAAAGGAAAGTCCAATGCTGTAAAGAAAAATATTACATAGGAATCTGGAATGTAAGAACCATGAACCTTGTTAAGCTGGATGTGGTCAAAAATGAGATTGCAAGAATAAATATTGATATCCTCGGCATCAGTGGACTAAAATGGACAGGAATGGGCGAATTCAGTTTGAATGACCATCATATCTACTACTGTGGGCAAGAATCCTGTAAAAGAAATGGAGTGGCCCTCATAGTCAACAAAAGAGTGGCAAAAACTGTACTGGGATACAATCTTAAAAATGGCAGAATGATCTCGATACGAATCCAAGGCAAACCTTTTAACATCACAGTAATCCAAGTTTATGCACCAACTACCGGTGCTGTAGAAACTGAAATTGACCAATTCTATGAAGACTTACAACACCTTCTAGAAATGACACCAACAAAGGATGTTCTTCTCATTATAGGGGATTGGAATGCTAAAGGAAGTCAAGAGATAAAAGGAACAACTGGCAAGTTTGGCCTTGGAGTTCAAAACAAAGCAGGGCAAAGGCTAATAGAGTTCTGTCAAGAGAACAAGCTGGTCATCACACTCTTTTCCAACAACACAAGAGACGACTCTACACATGGACATCACCAGATGGGCAGCATGAAAATCAGATTGATTATATTCTCTGCAGCCAAAGATGGAGAAGCTCTATACAGTCAGCAAAAACAAGACCTGGAACTGACTGTGGCTCAGATCATCAGCTTCTTATAGCAAAATTCAAGCTTAAACTGAAGAAACTAGGAAAAACCACTGGCCAGTAAGACACAATCTAAATCAAAAACCTTATGAGTACACAGTGGAAGTGAGGAACAGGTTTAAGGATTTAGATTTGGTGGACAGAGTGCCTGAAGAACTATGGATGGAGGCTTGTAACATGATAAAGGAGGCAGCAATGAAAACCATCCCAATGAAAAGGAAATGCAAGAAAGCAAAGTGGCTGTCCAATGAGGCCTTGCAAACAGCGGGGGAGAGAAGGCAAGCAAAATGCAAGGGGGATAGTGAAAGATACAGGAAATTGAATGCAGATTTCCAAAAAATAGCAAGGAGAAACAAGAAGGCCTTCTTAAATGAGCAATGCAAAGAAATAGAGGAAAGCAATAGAATGGGAAAAACCAGAGATCTGTTCAAGAAAATTGGAGATATGAAAGGAAAATTTCGTACAAAGATTACCATAATAAAGGACAAAAGTGGAAAGGACCTAACAGAAGCAGAAGACATCAAGAAGAGGTGGCAAGAATACACAGAGGAATTATACCAGAAAGATATGGATGTCTCGTACACCCCAAGTAGTGTGGTTGCTGACCTTGAGCCAGACATCCTGGAGAGTGAGGTCAAATGGGCCTTAGAAAGCATTGCTAATAACAAGGGCAGTGGAAGAGATGATATTCCTTTCCCCCCAATAAATTTTTATTGTTTTCTTTACATATTCTTTCTTACAATACTTTAATCAACACAAAACCATTTTAGCTCTGCCGAGCTTGTGACTTCCCTCCCTCCAGTTGGTATCCCATATCACATCCATTCACGTATTTTATCTTTTCACTTTTTTTATCTACATTGTAGGAATTACTTCAATCCTGCCAGTGTCCTTAAATTTGTACAACTGTCTTTTAAATATACAATAAATTTACTCCAATTTTCTTGGAATCTCTGATCGTCCTGATTCCGGATTCTTCCCATCAGTTTGGCTAATTCAGTGTAGTTAGTCACTTTCGTCTGCCACTCCGCAATGGTGGGAACTTCTTTTGATTTCCAGTTTTGGGCCAGTTTTGCAGCAGCTGTGGCGTGATGATATTCCAGCTGAACTATTTAATATTTTAAAAGATGATGCTGTTAAGGTGCTGCACTCAATATGCCAACAAGTTTGGAAAATTTAGCAGGGGCCAGAGGATTGGAAAAGATCAGTCTACATCCGAATCTCAAAGAAGGGCAGTGCCAAAGAATGCTCCAACTACTGCACAATTGTGCTCATTTCACATGCTAGCAAGGTTATGCTTAAAATTCTACAAGGAAGGCTCAAGCAGTATGTGGACCGAGAACTCCCAGAAGCACAAGCTGGATTTCGAAGGGGCAGAGGAACCAGAGACCAAATTGCAAACATGTGCTGGATTATGGAGAAAGCTAGAGAGTTCCAGAAAAGCATATACTTCTGCTTCATTGACTACGCAAAAGCCTTTGACTGTGTCGACCACAGCAAACTATGGCAAGTTCTTAAAGAATTGGGAGTGCCTGATCACCTCAACTGTCTCCTGAGAAATCTCTGTGGGACAAGAAGCTACAGTTAGAACTGGATATGGAATAACTGATTGGTTCAAAATTGGGAAAGGAGTATGGCAAGGCTGTATATTGTCTCCCTGCTTATTTAACTTAGATGCAGAATTCATCATGTGAAAGGCTGGACTAGATGAATTCAAAGCCGGAATTAAGATTGCCAGAAGAAATATCAACAACCTCAGATATGCAGATGACACAACCTTGGTGGCAGAAAGTGAGGAGGAATTAAAGAACCTTTTAATGAGATTTTACTTTCTTTGGCTCCATGATCACTGCAGATGGTTATAGCAGTCACAAAATTAAAAGACACCTGTTTCTTGAGAGAAAAGCAGTGACAAACCTAGACAGCATCTTAAAAAGTGGAGACATCACCTTGCCGACAAAGGTCCATACAGTTAAAGCTATGGTTTTCCAAGTAGTGATGTATGGAAATGAGAGCAGGACCATAAAGAAGGCTGATCACCGAAGAATTTATGCTTTGGAATTATGGTGCTGGAGGAGACTCTTGAGAGTCCCATGGACTGCAAGAAGATCAAACCTATCCATTCTGAAGGAAATTAGCCCTGAGCGCTCACTGGAAGGACAGATCCTAAGGCTGAGGCTCCAATATTTTGGCCACCTCATGAGAAGAGAAGACTCCCTGGAAAAGACCCTGATGTTCGGAAAGATGGAGGGCACAAGGAGAAGGGGACAACAGAGGATGAGATGGTTGGACAGTGTTCTCAAAGCTACCAACATGAGTTTAACCAAACTGCCGGAGGCAGTGGAAGACAGGAGTGCCAAGGGTGCTCTGGTTCATGGGGTCACGAAGAGTTGGACACGAATAAACGACTAAACAACAAAACAACAGCAGCAGCAGCAGACAGCTTCTTACAGAGTCCCAGGATAAGGGGAAAACTCTTCTCCCACCTAGTTCAGAGTAATAAAGTATTTATTGTCTCCAGATACAAGACAAAGCTAAATACTGTTATCTACTATATGTAGGCATTCGAGTCTTTGAAGTAAAGATACATATGTACAGAAAGATCCACTAACAGTATCATCATGCTAGCTAACACTAACATGAAAACATCAGGACACAGAAATCGATAAAGAGTCTTATGTGCTACCAACTGAGCTATTCCAGTGTACTATACTAGCAATCATTATTTATTTTGTTTTGTTTTATGGTATTGCTTCTGTATTAATCTGTAATCCATTCCAATTCTTTTTTTAGCTGAAGTGTCAGTAAGAATGCCTTTTTTTAAAATGAACAGATACCACAAATACAATTCTGAATTTTTTTTAAAAAAATTAAAATTAGAAAGTCGTTAATATAAACATAGCCTGAGGCCTTGATTCTCCCTTCCCTTGATGAATTCCTTTTATACACTACCCAATACATTGAGTTGGCTGGGATGGTAAGACAATATAGAGGATTACAGAGGTTTTAGTGGAAACTGCCAGGATATTCACTCAGAGGCGACAGTGGTGGGGTCAGTGTAAATTATGGCTTTGGTTTTGCAATGCAAGGTATGGTTTGGGCATTGCCAGATATTTTCTTATCCATTTGGTAAGATCTTGAATCCTTTCCCTTTTGTTATAATCACAGGCTGCCTGAAGCTTGGTAGGGACCAGAAAACATAGGAATAAACATAGGAGATTGGCACTGGGTTGAAATGGGCCACATGACAGATGCAGGTAGCATTTGGCCAAGACATTGGGTATGAATTCAGTATCAAGCAGCCCACCTGCTAGTTGATAAATACAATGGGGTTTAACACATAACTGGGAAGTCACCCCTGACATGGACCAGGTGCATCAACCCAGCTTGGGTCACCGTTGAGAAGGGAGCTATTGTCCGTTAGCCCCCATGTGGGCTCCTGGACAGAGACATCTTTCATGGACCCCTTTAACAGGGTACCCAATTAGCTAAAGATCTAACCCAATGCCTTATCTGCCATCTGAGATGGACCCCCACATTGCCAGGCTGCAACCCGAGTCCCCTATCCACACCCTGTTACCAGAACTCATTCCCTGCAGCTGATAGGTGCACCCCATCCATTCTCTAAAATTATCATTTGATAATTTTATGCTGAAGTCCTCGAGGTTGCCCTCTTAAGTACTGACAAGTGGTGGGCCTGATCTGCCCCTTCCCCTGCAACTGGATTGGTCCTTCTGACAAACCTTCACCTCACAGTTGGAAGGGGGAGCATTAAATGTGCCCCCCTATGGCAGTGCAAACAGGGCTGTGGCCTTTCTGCACAGCAAACGTTGCTCCCCCAGAGCGCTAAGTGAGCAGGGATTGCAAGAATTTATCCTAAGGATTCATTGATATTAATCTGGTAACCATAATCATTAAGGCAGGGAATATACAATTTAGGAAGTGAAATTTGTGTTGGAATATTTTGAGTAAGTTTTCTTCTAAGGCAGCTAAATGGAGGCAAACATTCTGATGCGTTCACACTACACATACTTTGCTAGATTCCACATTGCAATAGAGGATGTGGACATATTGTTCAATCCTTTCTACTTATTAGATGTTTCTTGCTGTTCAATTCAGGCCTTAGCATAATAATGTAACATTTGGGTGCAAAGATGCAACCCAGCAGTCCAGCACTGGAGGCTAAAATAGAGAAGATCTCCACTGCAACCATGTGTTTTCCATTTGTGCTCAGGTAGGAGGGAATAAATGATAACCAAACACTGCAAAAGACCAACATGCTGAAAGTGATGAACTTGGCTTCATTGAAACTGTCGGGTAACTTTCTGGAAAGGAAAGCCACAATGAAACTGACAGTTGCCAGGAAGCTCATGTAGCCAAGAACACAGTAGAACATAGTCACACACCCCTCATTGCATTCTAATACAATTTCTGAAGTCAAGGAGTGCATGTCAACATCTGGGAATGGGGGAGAGGTTGCAAGCCAAACAGTACAAATAAGTGCTTGGATGAGGGAGCAGGAAAGAACAATGGAGTTGGCCAAACTCTTCCCCACCCACTTCCTCATTTTGGATCCAGGTTTGGTGGCCATGAAAGCCAGAACCACTGTGGTGGTTTTTGCCAGCACACAAGAAACAGCCACTGAGAAAATGATACTGAAAGTAGTTTGTCGAAGGAAACACGTTACCCTCTTGGGTTGTCCAATAAATAAAAATGCACAAAGGAAGCAGAGGAACAGGGAGATGAGGAGAGTATAGGTGAGGTCCCGATTGTTAGCTTTGGCAATGGGAGTGTTGTGGTGCTTCATAAATATTCCTAGCACTAAAGCTGTCATCATAGAAAATGAAAGAGCTAAAGAAGTTAAGCAGAGACTCAAAGGTTCTTCATAAGACAGAAAGCTGAAATTCTTAGGAATACAAAAATCCTGCTTTTTGTTTGCATATTTTTCATCTGTGCATTTATGGCAATCACTCATATCTGAAAAAAACAACAATGGTGTTTTTATGTAGAAAATATGGCCAGAAAGTTCCCCAACATGAAATAAATGTTATTCTCCTTGTGATTAGATTTGTATGCGCAAAGATGCTTTGTCCTCACAGTCCAGGAATAAAGCATCTGAGCCTTGTTAGATTAATCTTTGTGTGTGTTGATTTATGCCCATGTCCTATGCACCTTTGCTGGTCCAATGATTCCCCCACCTCCCCACCTTCCCTTGAACCTGAAAGGCAAAGGAACAGCATGCCATACAGTGAGGATAACTAGTAAACAAGCAGAATTTGTGGTAGTGCGCAATATCATTATCCATGCAGCATGTCACTTACGGCTACAGACATAGCTTCCAGTTTCCCAACACTGTGGAGCTTGAGGTAATATAATATAGCCTTAACTCTGGTATTAAGCTGGGAGGTATTTTGAAAGCAGAAAGTGTTTTCATAATTGAGCATTTGGGTGTGGGTGTGGGTGTGTGTATGTGTGTGTGTGTGTGTGTGTGTTTGTTTACTGGTTGAATGATATTCAAGGCTTAGCTGATGTATATTACTATAACTAAATAAGACTAAGGAACAGCATGCCATACAGTGAAGAGAACTACGTAGTAAACAAGCAAAATTTGTGGTAGTGCACAATATCATTATCCATGGGGCACATCACTTGCAGCTACAGACATAGCTTCCAATTTCCCAACATTGTGGAGCTTGAGGTAATACAATATAGCCTTAACACTGGTATTAAGCATTTGTGTGTGTGTGTGTGTTTGTTCACTGGTTGAATAATATTCAAGGCTAAGCTGAAGTAAATGTTTGATTTACAAAGGCATTAAGAGATTATAGCTATATATATATATATATATATATATATATATATCTTAATCCACTGACATTTAAAAAAGAAGCCAAAACTGACAACCCAATAAAGGAAAATAAACTCAGCCCTATTGAGATAATTATTTAAAATTTATTAATGGTGTTTCTTTAGCTACTGTTCTGATGTTGAAAAAGTTCAATTACATTATACACCTTACCAATTTGATCTGAAATCTTCCCTCCTGGACATGGGATACAATCATAGCAGCAAGATGGCTCCCCCTCCTTCACTTTTTTGCTATAACCAGGACGGCAGCTCTCAGTACAGACAGAAAGAGGCTGTGCCTAATGTGTAAATGAAAGAGATTAATGATGATCTTGAAGATAATTATTGATGAACCAGTAAAATCCAGGAGACTTTGCATATGTTATGTAACAATCACAAAAAAAATATGATTTTATAGGAGCAGAATATTTTCTAAACTATCTCTACCTGGTTAAATCCCTTGTGCCATGTTATGACATTCTCATTGATGGTGAACACTTGGTCTGGAGAAGCCAGGGGATCGGTTCTCCCAACTTTTATTCTATGAAAGGATTCATTTTTGAGGAAAATCCAGTTATCGATATCAAAGCCAGCTGCAAACTCCCCATTCTGGTCAAAGGAGACTCTCTCCCCAGCACTATTGTTAAATGAAACCTTTTTCAAAAACTCGTGGAGCTGAATTAAAGTGGGGAAAAAACAATAATTAAAATATGCTGTAGTGTTAGGGTCAGGAAATAAGGAGGTGAAGCGGCAAAAATATTCTGTCAGTGTTATCTCTTTTTAAGGGATGAAGGAAGATGAAAGAGAAAGTTTCATTTCATGAGATGTGAATTGGTTTGCTATAAAATACACACTGCATGAATCTTCTCCCCTTCTCTCACATTCATTACCTTCCAGTGTTGGTAATCCTGAAATTTCTGAATGGCTCTGTTCTGCATGGCACTGTGCTTGAGTCTAGATGAGGACATAGAATGTAAAGCATGGGCCATAACATAGACAGCATTGTAGATACTGTAGCTGTGAGAGGTCATGCTCATTTCAAAAAAAGACTCAGAAAGACTCTCCAGCTTCTCCTCCCCAGTGCAAATGTCCCCATCTATCTTGCTGACATCTGTATTTGGGAATACACAACCAAAAGCCTGTTGCCAGAAGTCCTTGATAAAACCATCTCCTGTGGTGCTGGTTGGGTTTCTGTTTCTAACAAATTCTTGAAATCCTGGTAGATCATTGGAGTGAATTGTAAATGAGAGAGATCCATGGAATAAACTTTCTATAACATGCTAGATAAGGGAGTCAGAAAGTCAGAAGTGTTCTCTGGCTCCCAGTAAGAACAAATACCATTCACTTCAGAAAAGAAGAAGAAAAAGCAAATACATAGTAAGATATCCTTTTTTTTAAAAAAAAGGAATAAGTTAAACTCTTACGCAAGCTCTTCAAACAAAGGTGGTGGGGGTTCTTCAGTGAAGCTGATTCGATTGGAGATTATGTTTTTTTTAAAAATAATTTTTATTAATTTTCCAAACATGTAATAAAAACAAACAACAAAACAAAACAAAACATACACACAAATAAACATGTATAATTTCATAAACTCATTTTCCTTCACCTTATTTCCCGGACTTCCCCATACCTCCCTTTTTCTGCATCCTTATTTTTCCCTTTTGACAGCAACCCTCCATTCAATTAATTAGCTCATCTTCATTATAATTCCCTTAAATTTATGATATACAGCTGCAATTCTCTGTTTCTTAACACCATAGCATCTCAGCACTCCTCAATGTTACAACAATTTTTAAGGTATATTTTAAATTTCTTCCAATCTTCTTCCACTGTCTCACTCCCCTGGTCACGGATTCTGCCGGTCATCTCTGCCATTCCCATGTAGTCAATCACCTTCGCTTGCCATTCTTCCAGAGTGGGTAGCTGCTGCGTCTTCCAATACTTTGCCAAAAGAATTCTTGCTGCTGTGGTAGCATACATAAAGAAAGTTCTGTCCTTCCTTGGCACCAATTGGCCCACCATGCCCAGGAGAAAAGCCTCTGGTTTTTTAGAAAATGTCCATTTAAGGACCTTTTTAATTTCATTATAGATCATTTCCCAGTAGACTTTAATCTTCGGGCAGGTCCACCAAAGGTGATAGAAAGTACCTTCAGTTTCATTACATTTCCAACATTTATTATTGGGCAAATGGTAAATTTTTGCAAGTTTGACTGGGGTCATATACCACCTATAGATCATTTTCATTATGTTTTCTCTCAAAGCATTACAAGCCGTAAATCTAACACCAGTATTCCATAACCTTTCCCAGTCATCAAACATAATGTCATGGCCTATGTCTTGTGCCCATTTAATCATAGCTGATTTTACTGTTTCATCTTGTGTATTCCATTTCAGCAGCAAATTATACATTCTTGACAAGTTCTTAGTATTGGGTTCTAACAATTCTGTTTCCAATTTCGACCTCTCCATCTGAAAACCTATTTTCCTGTCCTGTTTGAATACCTCGTTTATCTGAAGGTAATGCAACCAATCTCGTACTTTAGACTTTAATTTGTCATAACTCTGTAATTTGACCCTTTCACCATCTTGCTCTAAAATTTCACAATATTTTGGCCATTTGGGCTCCATATTAAGTTTTTTTGTCTCTTTAGCTTCCATTGGTGATAGCCACCTGGGAGTTTTACTTTCCAATAGATCTTTATATCTTATCCAAACATTGTATAGTGCTTTCCTGACAATATGGTTTTTAAAACCTTTGTGTATTTTTACCTTGTCATACCATATATATGCATGCCAACCAAATCTATTGTCATACCCTTCCAGATCCAAAATGTCTGTGTTCTCAAGAAGCAGCCATTGTTTCAGCCAGCAGAACGCTGCCGATTCATAATAAAGTCTCAGGTCCGGCAGGGCAAACCCCCCTCTGTCTTTTGCATCAGTTAAGATCTTAAAGTTTATTCTGGGCTTTTTGCCCTGCCAGACAAATTTTGATATGTCTTTTTGCCACCTCTTGAAACAGTCCATTTTGTCCAGGATCTGGAGTGTCTGGAATAAAAACAACATTCTAGGCAATACATTCATCTTGATGACAGCAATTCGGCCTAACAAGGAAAGTCTCAACCTTGACCATATTTCTAGATCTTTCTTCACCTCTGTCCAACATTTGTCATAGTTGTCTTTAAATAAATTCACATTTTTAGAAGTCAGATTCACACCCAGGTACTTCACTTTTTTTGTTATTACTAAACCTGTTTCACTCTGAAATTTCTCTTTTTCTGCCATTGTTAAATTTTTCTCCAACACTTTAGTTTTTTGCTTGTTCAGTTTAAATCCTGCTACTTGACCAAATATCTCAATTAATTCTAATACTCTTTTAGTACTAGTATCTGGCTGTTGCAAAGTCAATACAAGGTCATCTGCAAATGCCCTTAATTTGTAATTTCTGGCTCCGACCTGAACTCCTTTAACCAATTGGTCCCCTCTAATCATGTTTAACAAAACCTCCAGGACTGTTATAAAAAGTAAAGGGGATATTGGGCACCCCTGTCGTGTGCCTTTTTCTATAGGTATTTCTTCCGTAACCACATTGTTCACAATCAACTTTGCTTTTTGCTTCGAATATATAGCACCTATACCGTTTTCAAAACCTTGGCCTACCCCCATCCCTTGGAGATTCTTCTTCATAAAGGTCCAACAAATATTATCAAAGGCTTTCTCCGCATCCACAAAAATCAAAACCGCCTTTCTATTAATGTTCACTTCCAACAATTCCAAAATGTCTATAATGTTCCTCACATTGTCCGACATATGTCTCCCTGGGAGAAAGCCTGTTTGGTCCTTATGAATCTCCCCTATCAGCACTCTTTTCAGTCTTTTTGCTAAAATGTCTGCAAAGATTTTATAATCCACATTAAGTAATGATATAGGGCGGTAGTTTTTAACCTGGTTCTTTTCAGTCTCTGTTTTCGGTATAAGTGAAATAAAAGCTTCTTTCCACGATTCAGGTGCCTTTTTCCCTTCCAAAATTTCATTACAGACCTCCTTCAATGGTTGTATTATCCATTCCTTCAATGCCTTGTAGTATCTAGCCGTTAGGCCATCTGGTCCTGGAGATTTTCCCAACTGCATATTCTGGATGGCACCCTCTATTTCTTGTCCTGTTATTTTCTCATTCAAAATCATTTTACTTTGATCTGAGATCTTTGGTAGTCCATACTTCTTGATAAATTCTTCTATTTCCTGCTCATCAACTGGCCCTTGTGCATATAGTTTCCTAAAGAAACTTTGAAAGCAATTGCTTATCTCATTTGGTTTGTGGATGATTTTTCCATCCATTTCCAAACTTGTCACAGTGTTCAGTTTTTGTCTCTTTTTCAATTGCCATGACAGAAGTTTCCCACATTTGTCTGCCGATTCAAATGTTCTTTGTCTCATTTGTTTTATTTTCCGTTCTATCTCTTGATTCATCAATTCCATATATTGCGTCTGGTAGTACTTTATTTCTCTCAAAATCCGATTGGAGATTATGAAAGCCTGGGAAGCAATGGCTCCGATGTTGAGGTCTCCTGGCTGATGATACTGATGAAGTGGAGCATGTGGATCATCAACCATGCACTTAATGACGTGAGCTTTGCTTACCATGTGAGGAAACATTAACAAAATCAAGGCAAGCAATAACACCATTGTTAACACCAGGCAACGACACTATTTTCATCTCTTAAAGCTAAGGACTAAAATACAAAGTGTCAGAGATGAGGCTGATATATCCTTGTCTGATCACAATCTTTATGTAATTTTCTTCAAAGGCTGTCATCAGCTTTCTTTGTGGCCACTGCAACTGGAATATTTAATTACAGTCATTCTGAAAGAGGAAAACAGTGAGTATAAAATTGTGCATACTCTATGGAATTGTTGAGAAATTATTATATTTGTGTTAAATCAAAAATTAACTGGTTTCTTTCACTCAGTTAGATACCATGGGGTACCTGAATAGGTTGTGACACACTGGGGAAATTACAAAAGAATAAGAAATCCAGAGAGGAAATAAAATGTTTTGATCAAAGGCATGCCCTGTTTCAAAACAGGTCCATGAAACATTACCCCACCAACCTCAATCATCCCTCAGTTATGTCCTGCCTACCCGCTTTCTTACTTGCATCCTTTCTAAGTAGGTAGTACTGACTGTCACCTGGTGACTTGTGAAAAGTAGTGGGTGGTTCACCACACCTTAACCAAGGTTAAGCAGTGTATGCAGAGCCCCAGCCAAGTCTTCAGAGATTTGCAGCTCCTAGCAGACAGCTTCTTCCAGAGTCCCAAGATAAGGGGAAAACTCTTCTCCCAAACAGTTCAGAGTAATAAAGTATTTATTGTCTCCAGATACAAGACAAAGCTAAATACTCTTATATACTATATGTAGGCATTAGAGTCTTTGAAGTAAAGATACATATGTACAGAGAGATCCACTAACAGTATCATCATGCTAGCTAACACTAACATGACAACATCAGGACACAGACATCGATTAAGAGTCTCATGCGCTGCCAAATGAGCTATTCTAGTGCACTATACTAACAATCATTATTTTTTTGTTTTGTTTTGTTTTGTTTTATGGTATTGCTTCTGTATTAATCTGCAATCCATTCCAATTCTTTTTTTAGCTGAAGTGTCAGTAAGAAAGCCTTTTTAAAAATGAACAGATACTATAAATACATTTCTGAATTTAAAAAAAAAATTAAATTAGAAAGTCATTAATATAAACATAGCCTGATGCCTTGATTCTCCCTTTCTTTGATAAATTCATTTTATACACTACCCAATACATTGAGTTGGCTGGGATGGTAAGACAATATAGAGGATTACAGAGCTGTTTTAGTGGAAGCTGCCAGGAGATTCACTCAGAGGCGACAGTGGTGGGGTCAGTGTAAATTATGGCTTTGGTTTTGCAATGCAAGGTATGGTTTCGGCATTGCCAGATATTTTCTTATCCATTTGGTAAGATCTTGAATCCTTTCCCTTTTGTTATAATCACGGCTGCCTGAAGCTTGGTAGGGACCAGAAATCATAGGAATAAACATAGGAGATTGGCACTGGGTTCAAATGGGCCACATGACAGATGCAGGTAGCTTTAGGCCAAGACATTGGGTATGAATTCAGTATCAAGCAGCCCACCTGCTAGTTGATAAATACAATGGGGTTTAACACATAACTGGGGAGTCGCCCCTGACATGGACCAGGTGCATCAACCCGGCTTGGGTCACAGTTGAGAAGGGAGCTATTGTCCGTTAGCCCCCATGTGGGCTCCTGGACAGAGACATCTTTCATGGACCCCTTTAACAGGGTACCCAATTAGCTAAAGATCTAACCCAATGCCTTATCTGCCATCTGAGATGGACCCCCACATTGCCAGGCTGCAACCTGAGTCCCCTATCCACACCCTGTTACCAGAACTCATTCCCTGCAGCTGATAGGTGCACCCCATCCATTCTCATTTGATAATTTTATGCTGAAGTCCTCGAGGTTGCCCTCTTAAGTACTGACAAGTGGTGGGCCTGATCTGCCCCTTCCCCTGCAACTGGATTGGTCCTTCTGACAAACCTTCACCTCACAGTTGGAAGGGGGAGCATTAAATGTGTCCCCCTATGGCAGCGCAGAAAGCCGCCTTGCTGCACAGCAAATACTGCTCCCCCAGAGCTCTAAGTGAGCAGGGACCGCAAAAATTCATCCTAAGGATTCATTGATCTTAATCTGGTAACCTTAATAATTGATGCAAGGAATATACCATGGGTAGGCAAACTAAGGCCCAGGGGCCGGATCCAGCCGAATCGCCTTCTAAATCCGTGGACAGTCCGGGAATCAGTGTGTTTTTACATTGGTAGAATGTGTCCTTTTATTTAAAATGCAGCTCTGGGTTATTTGTGGGGCATAGGAATTCGTTCATATTTTTTTCCAGTTTGTCGGAGGAGACATGTCGCCTTATGGGGTTGTCCAGTAAACAGAAATGCACAAAGGAAGCAGAGCAGGAGAGAGATGAGAAGAATGTAGGTGAGATCCCGGTTGTTGGCTTTGACAATGGGAGTGTTGTGGTGATTCATGAGTATTCCTAGCACTAGAGCTGTGATCACTGAAAAAGAAAGAACTAAAGAGGCTAAACTAAGACCCAAAGATTCTTCATAAGACAAGAAACTTATACTCTTAGGGATACACAAGTGATATGTAATTTGCCTTTACATTTTGTATACATACAACACCAGCCAAAAATCACAGTTCTCATAGCAACCTACACTGCTAAGAACAACTACAATAGTAATTAAATTATACATCAATTTGTGTTTGTTTTTAAAAAGATAGCTCCTCACGCAAGCTCTTCAAACAATGTTGGTGGGGGTTCTTCATTGAATGTTATTGATTCAGAGATGATGAAGGTCTGAGAAGCAATTGCTCCAATGATTAGGTCTCCCTTCTGATGATACTCATGAAGTGGATAGTGTGGATCATCAACCATGCATTTAATGATGTGAGATTTGCACACCATGTGTGGAAGTAGTACAAGAAGTGTAGCCAGCAATGATATCATTCTGAGTACCAAACTTTGAATGCTGCATGGTTTATATCTATATCATCCTATTGGTTATTCTAGTGGTCACTGCAAATGTGTACGTATGTGCTGGATAGCAGCAAAGTTAATTACAGTCCTTTTGGTAATTGAAAAGGAAGTGAATTACCAATTAAAAGTTGGGCTTTCCCTGTGGAATTGCTAAGAAAACATGTTTGTTATATTAAAATAGCATTTCTCATTCATTTAGTTAGACAACAAGGGACAGTGTGGAGATGGCTCAGTCGGTAGAGCATGAGACTATTAATCTCAGGGTCATGGGTTTGAGCCCCACATTGAGCTAGTTTTAATGAATCATTGGAAAGCATCATATGCCATTTTGAATAAAGGTGCTAGACAAACCATTCCAAACTGTACTGTTTTGGATACTTCTGGAGTTATCATTGCCCAATTTGACATGATGAGTATTGAGATTAAGGGGTTGGGTTGACTCTATGTTTGGATACTTTTGGAAGGCATTTTGAATAAAGATGACAGACCAAAATGTTCAAAAGCGCATGGATTTGAAAATTTGAAAATATTGTTGCCCAATTTAGTATAGTGGTTACCAAAATGGAGATTTTACTCTATTTTTTAAACCATCAGAACAGTGATACCCACACCTGAATGCTGTATATAGAGCCAAAATGAAAACTGCATTAAAACATTTTTTTTCTAAAGTGAAATGTGCATTAATGAAGACAGCAGACAGAAACATTGACAATTTGGACACCTCTGAAGATACTGCAACCCATTTTAGCCTGGGGCTTCCAAAGATGGAGGGCTGATGCAGACAAACCTTTATACAGCAGATCATTAAAAAATGACAGAGATCTGTACAATTTTCATGTTTTCCTTCTTATTAGCAGATCCCTGCTGTTCAGCTCAGGCCTCAACACAATAATGTAATATTTTGGGGCAAAGATGCAACCCAGCAACCCAGCACTGGAGGCCAAGATAGAGAAGATCTCCACAGCCACCACATATTTTCCCTTCATGCTCAAGTAGGTTGGGACAAAAGAAAGCCAAACACTGCAAAATAGCAACATGCTGAAAGTGATAAACTTGGCCTCGTTGAAACTATCAGGCAATTTTCTTGCAAAAAAAGCCACAGTGAAGCTCACAAGAGCCAGAAAGCCCATGTAGCCCAAAACACAGTAGAACATAGCCGCAGACCCCTCATTACATTCTAATACAATTTCTCCAGCCACTGAGTTCAAGTCAACATCAGGGAAAGGAGGAGAGATCACCAGCCACATAGTGCAGATGGCTGCTTGAATAATGGAGCAGGAAAGAACAACAGAGTTTGCCATTCCTTTCCCCACCCACTTCCTCATCCTGGATCCAGGCTTGGTAGCCATGAAAGCCAGAACCACTGTGATGGTTTTTGCTAACACACAGGAAACAGCCACTGAGAAGATTATGCCAAAAACTGTCTGTCGGAGCAGACATGTCACCACCTGAGGCTGGCCAATAAATAGCAATGCACAAATGAAACAGAGAAGGAGGGAAATGAGGAGAGTGTAGGTCAGGATCCAGTTGTTGGCTTTGACAATGGGAGTGTGATGGTGCTTCATAAATGTACCCAGCACAAGTGCTGTAATGAAAGCAAAGGAAAGAGCAAAAGAGGTTAAACTGATACCCAAAGGGTCTTCATAGGACAAGAAACTTGTACTCTTGGGAATACATAAATTCCTATTTCTGTTTGGATATTTTTTGTCTTCACACTTATAACAGTCAATCATATCTGAAAAAGAAAATATTTTGCATTAATCTCAAAAATACGACGTTTCCTCAACATACCGTAACTTTTCCTTCATTTCTTTTTCTTGTTCCATTTAAAAAACAAAGACAAAAAATGGTTTCATGAATATACAATTAAAATTTAAAGTTGTGAATGATGGAGTCCATCCTGCTTAGGCAGCCAATCAGAAGTACATAATTAACTGAGTGAAAATGCAGAAGGGTTGGAAATGCTTCCTGATTGACTTCACATTATCAAGAACTAACCAAGGGTTTCCAGTCAATATTCTGTAGCCCCCTCAATAAAGCATAATAGAGGGAATGTGTCACTGTATACTTATGTGTCTAGTAACCCACTCTTATTAATCAGTAAATTAAAAATAATTCAATCTTAGCAAACCTCTGTATGTGCAGATTGGAAGTTAGCTCTTTGCTGGATTTCTCAAAATATTATGACTCGATTACCTGAAGCTTAAAGTTTTAAAATATACATCTAAATAAGTTTTATGAATGTAAATGCACAATTGAAAAGAACTTGGATAGATACTGCTAAACACATATTGAGAGAAAATGCAGATTTACATACATTTTTAAGAGGATTTTTTTTAAAAAAAGCATAATAATCAAATTAATGAAGCTGTGTGTAAAAATATGTTTACTAAAAGATTAGGTCCATTGCCACCCAAATCTTTCTACCAAGTTTCAAAAACTGGAAACAAGAACCTTGGTGAATATATTGTTTCCTGTGGATGTTTTTCTTTGTTTTAGGGAACCATATATAAATTTGTACATATATTTCTTACCCTCCTGGGTTGTAATCTTCCCTTCTGGACATGGGGTGCAGTCATAGCAGCAAAATGGCGCCCCCTCTTTCACTTTCTTGCTAGAACCAGGATGACAACTGTCGGAGCATACAGATTTAGGCAGTGTCTAATTCAGAAATGAAAGAGAAAGAAAATGCGATTCTCAGAATAATAATAGCCATAATCTTCAAGTTTCTGAGACATTTTTGAAGTAGCAAAGGACAGTTCCTGCACTCATGATTGAGCCTCCCATCTGAGTGATATTTGTTGTGGGAGCGGCAGACGGTTCTCCAAAGAGAGCTTTTGTCAAGCACTTTAAGATAATAGGCATACTTCTTTCTTAGCAGTTCAGGATCTCCACATTTCTTTTTAAGCAGACAGTGGGGGAGAAAGAAATCTGCATTGTTACAGGAGAAGATCCTGCTCATTAGCTGATGAACGAATTAGCATATCATAGAAATGGAGAGTTGGAAGGGACCCAGGGGATCATCTAGTGCAGTGGTGTCCAAACTTTTTTCAAAGAGGGCCCGATTTGAAGGGTCATGGGGGCCGACCAAAGGGCCAACCAAAGTTGTTGACCTTTTTCAAAGAATGAAGTTCAGCTTTTTTTAGGATTTTACCCAAGGAAATAAACTACCACAGGGGCCAGATTAAACTGACTGGTGAGCCGGATTAGGCCCCCAAAATGGACTTTGGACATGCCTGATCTAGTGCAACTCCCTGCAATGCAGGAATATGCAGCTGTCCCATACAAGGATCGAACCCGCAACCTTGGCATTTTCAGCACTATACTTCAACCAACTGAGCTATCATGACCCCTGTCTTATATCATCATAATTTCTCTGGAACTTCTTAAGTGCACTTGAAATGCCACACGGGTATCAACATTGCCATTATAATTGCATTGCACATTATAATTGCATTGCACATTATAATTGCATTGCACATTCTGGAAAATGTCCTTGTTGAAGAAATGATTTGTTTTGCCATGCTTATTGATCAACCTGACTTGTTAACTAAGTGAAGATGCCTGTAGCCATGTAAAATAGATGGAATCGCTGAAAAGCATTTAAAAGAAGGTAGCCTCTTCTTTTAACATGGTTGTTTGAAAGATCATTTATTGTAGCAGCTTGCTTCATTCAGCAGTTGTATTTTTATTCTTAAGTCAGTGGTAAGGGAGAGATGAGGCAGGCTATTGAAGAATCCGGGGTCTTCCTGTCTTGCTGCAATCATCTCCCCTCCCCCCTGGTCTCAGAACAAAAGAGGGACGAAGAGAGCAGAGCAGAGACAGGCAAGGTGATGAAGTATCAGATTGCTTGGGAAAGACCGGGGGGGCAAGGAACTGTGGGAAGATAGGGATCTTCAGTCCCTGCAACTGCCTCGTAGGGGCAAGATCCAACAGGACTAGTTGCTGTGCACACTAGGCCCGGCCTTTGGAGCTATCTTGTTTCTTTGAATAAAGAGTTAACTTCATGGGCACCTTGTGAGTTATTGCTGCCTTGCCCTTGACAACCGCTTCTGACAGCTTGTCAGCAGAACCGCTTCTGCTATTTTCAATCCCAACAACAGCTAACAGTTTTAATAAGGGCTGAAAAATGCTAAGCAAAATAACATTTGTATATTATTCAGGAGTGTTCATTCAAAATTGGAATCTTCCGAAATGGCTGATGATTACCTCCTACCTGGTTAAACCAGTTGTGCCATGTTATGATATCCTCACTGATAGCAAGTGCTTGGTCTGGAGGAACCTGGGGATCAATCTTCCCAACTTTCACTCTTTGAAAGGATTGATTTGAGAAAACAATCCAGTTGGTGACATCAAATCCAGCTACAATTGCCCCATTCTGGTCAAAGGAAATCTTGTCCCCAGCACTGTTGTTAAATGAGATACGCCTCAGAAAATGATGGAGCTAGATTGAAAAGGAAATGGCAGTTCAGGAAGGAATAATGTTGCATTGCATATTTAAGGCTGGAGATTCTAAATATCCGTTCTGGATAGAAGCCATCTTTTTTCTTTTCTTTCCCCCCCTAGAAAACGACAGACTTTAAATATAAGTTTGAAGCCACAAATGTATCACTTTTTGAAGTTCATTTTCAAATACAGATTGTCAATAATTATGGCATCCTGTTTCAAAAATGCACAAACAACCATAAAAGCACTGATAGGTTATTGAAAGTGATGGCTCCATGGGTTTCATGGTATATACACTGTGGGTTTACATATCATTCTTTCTATACTGCAGGTTCGGAGGTAAATATGGATCCTTATCCATCATCCACGTGCAAAAGGATGGTATGAGCAGGTTTGGGGGAGCCTCAAGAGTCCCATGGACTGCAAGAAGATCAAACGTATCCATTCTTCAGGAAATCAGCCCTGAGTGCTCACTGGAAGGACAGATTCTGAAGCTGAGGTTCCAATACTTTGGCCACCTCATGAGAAGAGAAGACTCCCTGGGAAAGACCCTGATGTTGGGAAAGATTGAGGGCAAAAGGAGAAAGGGACGACTGAGAACAAGATGGTTGGACAGTGTTCTCAAAGTTACCAACATGAGTTTGACCAAACTGTGGGAGGCAGTGGAAGACAAGAGTGCCTGGCGTGGTGTGGTCCATGGCGTCACGAAGAGTCAGACATGACTAAACGACTAAACAACAACAGGAAGATTTGCAGAGGTACAAAAGAAGACTTTAGGGAAGGAAACACTGAGGAGGGTACAAACCCCCAAACATCCCAATGAGGACTGAGAACATTTAGCAGCCAAAGAATGCTTACTGTTTGTTAGGGGGGGAAAACTGGAAAACTAGGTAGGAGAACGGAAATGCCATGGTATTTAATCATAATAAATAAATACGCAAATAAATATAATTCATATGTTCATACACCCCAGTATCTAAGCAAATCCTGAGGTCCTTGAACTCACCATTACCCATAAAGAATGTAGACCAATTTTTTTGTGTGGGTCCTTTCAGGTAGTAAATGGACATTGAATATAACTCAAGTTCATGGAACATTCTATATAGAAATACATGATTTTACTTCAAAAATAAAACAGAATGTACAAGAGAGGGTTTGAGTACATAGAACTTGCATACACAAATAGGACAATAGTGTACAGTACCTGTAAGGAATTATACATTTCAAAATCTTTTTACAATTCCAACAAGAAAGCGTGGAGGAAAAATATAATTTTGTCTGCATCTTGATAACCAATTTGTGAACTGTGAACAAATATGTGAACTGAAACACCAATTTCCTGCTCAATTCACACTTCTCTGAATTTTGTGGTGCAGTTCATTTGTGAAAAGAATATATATTATATTTAGATGAAATTGCTTGGGAAAATGTATATACTAGTCAGACCTATTTGCAAAAAACCACAAACATAAGTTTTTCACAAATATAGCCACATTATCTGAGGAATGTGGAGAAGAAAATTTATTTTAAAAACTGTAAAAAACATCTTGATGAAGGTGTAATGAAAAATACAGACTAGAACTCAGCTGGAATAAAACTCATATTTTCATTTTCGCTGTAGATTTCTACTTCAATTTTCAAACATCCCCTCTTCGGTGGTACACAGTGAAGAGTCAGGGCAAATAATGCAGATGAGGATGCTAAGTCCCTTACCCGCCACAGCTGTTGATTCTGAAGCTTCAGTTCTCCACAGCCTGCCATTGATCTGTGTTTGACTTGGGATGTAGACATGGCATGCAAAGCTTGGGCCACAACATAAACAGCATTGTAGATGTTGTAGCTGTGGCTGGTCATGCTCATTTCAAAAAAAGGACCAGGAAGATTCTCCAATCTCTCTTTCCCGGTGCAGATATCTCCCTTCACATTGCCAGTAACTTGATTTGTGAATACACAACCAAATGCCTGTTGCCAGAAGTCCATGATAAAACCATCTCCTTTTGAGCTAGAAGGGTTTTTGTTCTCAACAAATTTGTGAAATCCTGGTAGATCACAAGAATGAGCTGTGAAGGAGAGAGCCCCATGGAGTATGTTTGTATCCCAAGTCCTTTGATACACAAATGATGTTAGCTCCATCTGGCCTGTCATAATCCACACTTTACCATTTGGCTTACTTGACATTTGTTCTTGTTCTGACAGGTACGGCAACCATCTGAAAAAAGGCACAGCATACGATTCCCCATAGACCACAACTGCATTGGCTTTGCTGTTAATTATATTATCATGAATTTTTGCCCCCTTGTTAAACAAAGCATTAACTTCTGTGATAAAAGTGAATTTCTGAGTTCTTTCAGTGAAGGCAAAACAAATACCACTCTGGGAGAAAAGTGGAACTACAGTTTGTACAAATCTATCTCCATATTCATCATTGCTGGTAAGGATCCCAATCCATGTCCATCTGAAATGCAGAAGGAAATAGAGAATCCCCTGATACTGGAGGTCTTCCTTGGGGCTCATCTGGTAGAAATAAAGTCCTGGAGTTTTATCATTCATCAGTGGTGCAGATCCATATATGAGCTAAATAGAAATGTGGGAATAGGAGGAAGTGACAGAAGTGATAACCACTTTAACCTGAAACATGTTGTTATATCAACAATTCTTCCAACGGTGCTACAAAACTGGTATGGATAGAGAGTGGAAGCAGGGGCAGACTTTTGTAATACGGTGCCCTTAGCAAGGACAACATTTGTTGTTCCCCTAAATATTTCTTATTTTCACAATAATTCCTTAATTATTTATTGTTGTTTCCTCAGCTTGGTGTGAGGAAACGGCTCACACCCACCTATATTTGTGTCACTGGCGGAAGCAGAGAGAACAGTGTCATGTGTAAGGATTTCCAATAGATTCAAGGTGTAGCAGATAATTGCAACAATACTGAGGACTTCGTGGCTCAAAAGTCTCACTCTTTAGAGACATAATTGTAAAAAAGATGACGTATATATATCCTGAAGCAGAGCCAAAAGTTTTCAAGAGATAAGAAGTTCCCTGAATGCTCCCCAAATTGTCATTGCAGTGGTTGAAATGAAAAATAAAAACTTCTGCCTCAGGAGTAGGCTGCATTTTAAAAAAATCTCCCATCCAACATTCATGCAAAAATATGTCCCTCTGGTTATTTGGAATGCACAGATTTGTTTTTCCAAACTACATCATACAACATATATGGAGTCAATCCCTATTCTGGATACCAAGAGAGAAATATCCCACCTGTGGAACCTTATAGATATCCAATATTGTTGCCACTTGAAGGGAAGTCTGGGAGTCCAGTCCCCCAATGATGGCTAAAAGGTTTTGCTTGATGTCACAGATGTAGTTGGGGACAAATGTTTCCAGTGTGGATGTGAGTAACATTGTGGCATGATAGGTCCATTTGGCATTGAAATAGCTGTCATAGATGTGGAAGCCTAGAGTGACATTGGGTAGAATCTGAGGATTTTCATTGATCTCCTTCACTGCAAATTGCAAGGCCAGGATATTCTGGTAATGCTTAGGCACCACACTAGAAAGAGAGTTGCATTCCTTATCAGAAAAGTATGCCACACTTTGTAAATGCTTCACAGCTATGTTCTACATTGAGTTCCAGTGCTTGTCATTAGGTCAACTAGGCAGCTGCCCATGGGGCAGACCTCAAAGGAGTGATTCTGTCTTCACATGAGAGGAATACTGACCATTTAGAAACCAAGTGATAGATTTCCTACAACCAGGGCTTTTTTCAGCTAAAGTTTGCCGGAACTCAGTGCTAGCACCACTTAGGTGGGTGCCATTGCCATTATAAGAGAACACTGGTGGCATTCATGCTGAGTTCTGGCACCTCTTTTCCTAGAAAAATAGCAATGCCTGCAATGTTTACTAAATGAAATGAATGAACTCTACTCTGTGTCTGAGAAATCTCAGAGGTAACAGAGCATCAGTTCAGAATTACATTGCAAAGAATAAATTTTTATGGCTTCAACCTAAGTAGCCTGTCCTTTAAAAAAAAAAAAATTGGGGGGTGGGCAAACTACAGCTCCCAAATTGCCATGAAGCCTTGACCAAAGGAGATAAGTATGACACGATGCCAAAGCTTGGAAAGTGGCCAACATTTTATATACATATAGATATAGATTAAGGCTGTATCCATACTCCCAATTACTCTACAACCAGTACTCCCCGCCCCCCACTGTTGTTTTGAGACATGGTGTACACATGACATGAGCAGCAATCCATATCTATCCTGTATGTGCTCCTTCATGTCCTCTTATAAAATACAGTGTTTTGATGCATTTCCCCCCAAACCAGCTTTAATCCAAATCAAGAAAAAGCATAATCTTGATGTGTTTTAAAACAGTAACCTGTACGCAGCTTAAATCTCCAACAACTTATCTTAGATACAGGATGTGAGGATGGGGCTGAGAAAGATTTCTGTCTCAGACCTTGAGGAACTGCTGCCAGTAAGAGTTCAAATTGAGCAAAAATAATCAGAGTCTCCCACCCCTCCACTTTAAAAAACCAAGGAGACAACTGTTCTTTTTCCATTCTAATTTGAGGGGTCTAGAAAATAATATGCATCAATTTTTTCCCAAGGACTGAACTCCTATGCAGATGTCGCCACGTGTAATGAACCCAGTTGCCTGCCATGGTATATAAGGGATTAAAGTATGAATCAAAGTGGAAACCTGAAATGATTAATTCCTTACTTAAGCTCTTCAGGTAATGCTGGTGGGGGTTCTTGGCTGAAGGCTATTGAGTTGGAGATGATGATGCTGTGAGAGGCGATTCCACCAACGATGAAGTCTCCATTCTGATGATACTGATGGAGTGGAGGCTGTGGATCAGGGACATTGCATTTAACAATGCGAGTCTTGGCTATTACATGAGGAAGTAGCATCAACATCAAGACCAACAATGCCACCATCCTTGCTATAAACATTGCCTTAAAACTGGAAAAACATATTTCTTACTATGACAGTATCATTGAGAAAAAAACATTGGCAATTTAGTCTCCTTATATGTATAAAATACAGAATGAAAGATAACGTTTTGTCTTTTTTAAAAAAAATCCTGATCATGCTGAAAGATCCTTGTCTATTCACATTCCCTAATTCTAGCTGTGATCGCTAAAGATTGCCAGTCTTCTTGATCACCTTCCATATGTTTTGAATTTCAATTTCCAGCATCCACCACTGGCTGGTTCTATTGAAGCTGTAGTCCAAAACAGTTGGAGGACATCATTTGGGGGAAGATTTGTGTGTATTATCTTTTACAGACTGTCTCATTAGCTTTGATGGTGTCCACGTTCATGGGGGGATAGAGAAATTGGAGAATTACTATACTTATGATAATTAAAGGAAACACGTTCACCAGCTGAAATCTATCAATTCTCTGAGGAATTGTGAAACTGAATTTATTTGTCTGTCTTAAGAGAAGTTTTAATTTTCACTTAGTTGGGTGAAAGTTAGGCATTACTTTTGTTAACTTTGTGAACTGGTCAATTGATTTTGCTCACACACTTCTTCTGTACTTAAAAGGAGGCGGGGAGCCTCTGCCAATACACCCAAGAAAGATGGGTAACAGGATATATTTATTAAAACGAATGAGGTCCGGGCAGTGAGGTGGATTAATGGGAGGATTTCAACTTTCCTAGCTCCCGAGTCAGTTGCCTGTCACATGCTGTGTTTTCACAGCAAGGTCCAAGAAACTCCTTTCACCTTGCCATGTGCTCTATATGTGTGTGTGTACACACACCACATGTGCACCATGGCCCATTGGCCAATGTTCACCTCAATGTTGCAAGACCCAAACACCTCTCTGGCTTTGATTCTAGTTGGATATTCTTCTGTAATTTTCCTTAAATGAGCAACTAACATGGTCCATACACTGCTCCCAGAGTGCATAGAGGCTTGATGATATGTAAACACTGAGACAAAGTATTTTAAACTCAGTATCACTAGACAACTGAACCACTCAAAGCTCTGGGGAGAAAGATACAATGCATTCTATGACACTGTGAACAGTTAAAGGTGCACAGGTTCCAGCTGTATTGTAAGCTATCTAGGACCTAGTGAAGCTGGTAATAAGAGGCAGAAAAAAGAGCAGGCAAAACAGAATGTTGCAAAAGCAGGCATAAACATCCTACATGCACTTAATCTCTGTAATAAGTGCAATTCAATGGGCCCACAATTTGCACTCACTTTACATACACCATAGTAACCTTCCGCAAGTGAGGAAATAAATGTTTCTTTTTGCTTTGATATATTTTATTATGCAGCAGAATATTCTTATAATTATAAGTAAAATAAAACAGCTTTTGCCTGAATGGCAAGTGATATGGCTTCTTTTGTACATGCAGATGCATAAACAAGAGCCGATCTCATAATAGATTGAGAGAGTGTGTTTGGAGAGCTTTAAGGAAAATCTAACCACAATAAGGGAACCATTCAGAAAATTACAAAGGTAGCAGTGTAAACATGATAGGTGCTGCAAGAGGAACATTCAGGCTTATATTGAGTGCAGACAAAAACCCCTCAGGTATGCAATTTATAGCAAAATGTACCAAACAGTCATTTGGCCTTCCTCTTTATTAGATGTTCCCTGTTATTCAGCTCAGGCATCAGCACAATCAGATAACATTTGGGAAGGAAGATGCAACCCAGCAGCCCAGCACTGGAGGATAAGATGCAGAAGATCTCCACTGAAACCATATATTTTCCTTTGGTGCTCAGGTAGGAAGGAACAAAGGATATCCAAACACTGCAGAAGACCAACATACTGAAAGTGATAAACTTGGCTTCATTGAAACTGTCAGGTAACTTTCTGGCAAGGAAAGCCACAGTGAAACTAACAATTGCTAGGAATCCCATATAGCCAAGAACAGAGTAGAACATTGTTACAGACCCCTCATTACATTCTAATACAATTTCTGAAGTCAAAGAATGCATATCAACATCTGGGAATGGGGAGGAGGTTGCAAGCCATAGAGTACAGATGCCTGCTTGAATAAGAGAACAGGAAAGAACAATAAAATTGGCCAGTCTTTTCCCCAACCATTTCCTCCCCCTTGATCCTGGTTTGGTAGCCATGAAAGCCAGAACCACTGTGATAGTTTTTGCCAGCACACAAGAAACAGCCACTGAGAAGATGATGCCAAAAGCAGTTTGTCGGAGGAGACATGTCACCTTCCAAGGTTTGCCAATGAATAAAAAAGCACACAGGAAGCAGAGTAGAAGGGAGATGAGGAGTGTGTAGGTGAGGTCCCGGTTGTTGGCTTTGACAATGGGAGTGTTGTGGTGCTTTATAAACGTCCCTAGCACCAGAGCTGTCATCATAGAAGAAGAAAGAGAAAAACAGGCTAAACTGATCCCCAAAGGTTCTTCATAAGACAGGAAACTTACTTTCTTGGGAACACATGCATCTTTTTGGGGGGTTGCATAGTGTTCATCTGGACATTTAAAACAGTCATTCATATCTGAAAACGAAAAGTATGATGTTAATCTTCACTCCACAAATCTTACTAACTAGATGTAAATGTTCCTCATGCACAGTTAAAGCATATGTAGCCCTACCACCCTAACACACTGGAAGTAGTGATTTGTCCATGGCAGTTTTGTGACAGTCACCATATGTACATCTAAACAACAGTTATATTCCATGATTAAGGACAGTGATGCAATAGGACAGCTACATTAAAATCACAGTGATTATAAAATCCTGATTTTCCTTTGAGTAGGCAGCTATTTATAAATTTTGCAGTAAGAGTAAAAGCTGTTCTAAGATTTCTAAGGGGCACTGTTATCATTTGTCCAATTATTACTACAAGACTGAGAGAACAACATCCTGTTCAATGAAAAGAGCAAAAGAACCTGTGATATTTCTAGACTCAAGGACAGTAATGGGGGATAAATTTGGTCTACATTTCATAGCTTATCAACCTGACCTGGCACTCCCAAGGATCTCCCTAACTTTGTGGTGCAATCCTGGTTCATGTGTATGGAGGTCCCGGACTGCCCAGATGACAATACCCTCTTTTGGCCTCACTGATGTGATCAATAAGAAAGGAAAGCAATACATTTGGCACCAGCTTGGCTGTGGGAATTGCTGGTAGGAGGCAAAGAAGACACCATTCAAGTGCATTAGGGCCTCAGCTCTAGATCTGAATATGATTTACTTCAGGCATAGGCAAACTCGGCCCTCCAGATGTTTCGGGACTACAACTCCCATCATCCCTGACCACTGGTCCTGTTAGCTAGGGATGATGGGAGTTGTAGTCCCAAAACATCTGGAGGGCCAAGTTTGCCTATGCCTGATTTACTTCTCAGCTTATTCTTTTCCAAGAGATGTCCTTTCAAGGCAGTGGGTATCCATTGTTCTTGGGGTTTACTCCTGAATATTTCCTCATAAATGAATATAGCCACAAGGCAGTGAAAGTTTAGGATCTGAGTTTTCCTTTTCCTAGATGAAATTAGGAAACCTTCACAGGTTGATGGTCCCATCTGCCCCTCACTTCTCTCCGCAGCATGTGCAGAAACCATCTTCTTGATCATTGGACCCACTATTGGTCTTGTCCATTCAGTCTGCTGAAGCCTGTCTTCTCTTGAATGGCAAATCCCTAACTCACTGAAGTTTTGAAATCCATTGGCTACCTTCACCTGGTTAGCTGGCCAGGTTGAAGCTGTTCCCGGGGTGTGGACACTATAGGATGCTGACAGCTTCTAGAAGTCACAAATGAGAGCTGAGTACAGCAGGGGGGACCAGTGATGGACAAACTACCCAGAAGGAGCACAGCATGTCTCCCACCAAAGATATTGCTTTCCATACACCCCCACACACTGCAGATCTTAAGTTGGAACAAAATGTAAAATGTAAAATGTAAAAATTTTCTTGGTTACCCTGCCTCTCATTTCACCCCATTGTTTGTTCATATCACTGCTTTGATTGATGCTATGATATTTGATAACACTGGGTTCTTCTGTTAATTTCAGCAGCTGAACTTAAGCATTTATTATATGAAATTTGAGCTAGGAGGATGCATTCTACTTAGCTCATACAGCGTTTCAACAGTTCATGACCAGAAAAATAATGAATAAGTGCAGTGAAAAGATTTAGAAGAAAACACAGCTTGCCCCCTGGCTTATTAGGGTGTGGTTGTCAGATCCTTTAACCTGCCCTCCCTGTCTCTACTGACTCTATTGGAAAAGCTGTACATCCCATTCAAAATTGAACCTCCCAACGTCAGGAAGAACTTTCCAACAATAAGAGTGTTGAATAGTGGAATGGACTCCCTCAGACTCTCCTTCACTGGAGGTTTTTATGCAGAGGTTGCGTGGCCATCTGTCATGGAAGCTTTGGTTGAGATTCCTGCATTGCTGAGGTTGGACTAGATGACCCTTGGAGTTCCCTCCAACTCTACCATTCTATGATTTTATGTTATCTGCTGTTATTTTAGCTTATGGTGAGTTTATTCTGAGTATATATGTGAATGTATGGTGAAGAAAAATCCTTAATAAACAAGTAAGTAAAATGATATTTACATATCAGTTCCTCTGGATTACAGCCAATCTTAATACTAACTTCTACAATATAGTTCTTACCCTTCTCATTTGAGATCTTCCCTTCTGGACATGGGAAGCAGTCATAGCAGCAAAATGGTTTCCCCTCTTTCACTTTCTTCCTAGAACCTGGATGGCAAGTCTCACTACATAACGAAAGAGGTCGTGTCTAATGCATAGAGGAAAGAGGAGAAAACAAATCTTGAGGATGATCGCCCGGACATACCTGGAATACTGTAGTCGGAGATCAGCAAAAAAATGTCTGGGAAAATCCAGATGTATGGCAACCCGTGTTGGCAGTATCGTTTTTGCCGATTTCCCTCAAAAATAGCTCAAAAACGTCGTTTTTTGCAATTTTGCCAATAATTTTAATTCTAGTATGTTTATTCACTCTCTTTGGCTCCTCCAGAAACTAACGTTACTTCTGAACTCATATCTTAGCTTTCTTAACTGAAGTGCTTAAAATATGACTAGTTCTACATTTCATTTGTTATTTTCCTGTTTCCAGAGCAGAAAATCAAGTGTTCAAAGGGATTTATTAGGAAAGTGTTTCATTAAGTTAATATAGTTAATCCTTATTTCTAACATGGTAGGGTGAACATGTACTAAAAGTATCACGGACCTTCATAGCAACTATATTGTGTGTCTTGTGTAGGGAGCTCAAATGTAACCTAAAGATAAGTGTCTTCTTTGTAGAAACCCACTGTTTAAAAAATGCTGATATGTAGATAATAAACTGTTCTTCAGGCAGTTTATTATTCTGAGCAACCTCAGGAGAAAAGAAAGTAATATTTCTAAATTTAAAGCAGATACATAATAGGTGAATGCACCAATAACAGCATTAGGTTTAGACTGATTCTACACAATTGTTGTCTGAGGAACTATAATGCTTGACCCAAGCGCATCCAAGTCTGCTTCAATTCCTCACACCCATTCAATATTGGGAATTTTTAAAAAAGAAAGACAAGACAGACATTCATGGAATTTGCAAGCACACTAGTGCCCCAAGAGGGAATGAATCCTGATAAAATATAGGTAAATGGTTTAAGAAGCTTTTATATAAACTGTTTCTTCCTCCCCTTTCTTTTACTTTCCCTTTTTATGGAATTGGGTGGCATTTCCAGCAAGATCTGACAGCATCAATACTCCAGAATTTCAGAACTATAGCTTGCAGAAAGACAATTTTTCCACAAGGCCAGCTGTTACCTTTTTGGTATGAATAAAAAAAGCCATAACTTAAACTCCATTAATGATTTGTGAGCAATTGTCTGAAAATCGGTCATGAGAAGGATGCCCTGGCAAGAAAAAATCATAGAAAAAGAAGTCAAGGGGGTTTTGTACTAATAAACATTAACATTGATTTTGAGTGAGCAGAACTCAAAGGGATTTGCTTTCTGAGTAAAATGATTTTTTGTGATTACAAGGTTGACATGTCAATAACCACAGAAATTTCTGTATGCTGCCTTTCCACTCTGGTGTTTGCTCTCCTCTCCCCCCCCCCCTTCATTCCATCCTAGCATGATGCCATTCTTGTATAGCACTGCTTTAATTTTAGAATTGCCAAAACACCACAGAGCACTCCACAAGTTCCTCTTACAATTTGTGCCTCCTTATACAGGTTCTGCTTCACCTCTGACCAGCACAGTATTCCTATGAGGCACCCTGCTTTGCCTTTGATTTCAGGATTTGTCTAATTCTGATGCCCTTCCCAGTTAATGCTATAGTCAGCAAAAAGATGTGACAATGAAGCAAGACTGAATTGCTCGAGTATCACTATAAACACTGAGATTTAGTATACAAGCAAGAGTCAAAGATGACCCAAACTGTGTATGTATTGGAGCCTACCTGGTTAAACCAGTAGTGCCAAGTGATGGCATCCTCATTGATGGTTAACATTTTGTCTAAAGGAGCTTGTGGATCTACCTTCCCAATCTTCACTTTTGATTGATTTGGTAAAAGAATGTAGTTGATAATATCAAATCCAGCTGCTAATTTCCCATTCTCATCCAAGGATATCTTGTCTCCAGCACTGTTGTTAAATGAGATACATCTCAGAATGTGATGGAGCTATATTGAAATAATAATAAAAGGTTTAGAAAATGCTACATATGTGAGAACAGAGCAAGGAACTTCATTTGTTTCACAATCCATGCATTTATTTGTTTCTAAAAGTGCATTCATATTTGTTATGTATGTCATCATTTGTTTGTCTATCTGTTTGCAGAGGCAACTTCAGAACTTTGTGTCAGCTATTACTTTATTTTCTAGGAATGTCCAGGACATTGGAATACAATGTTTACTTCTGTACTGGCTGTTAGCCTTTTAGTGTTAACCACGACAAAAAAGGAAAGTAGCGAGGGATCAATAAACGATTTACAATTCTAACTGGTGGAAAGAAGAAGGAAGACATAACTTTAAGGATAGGAAGTGTCTGTGGAGAAAGCTTTCTGTTCAGATTACTGCTGTTAGATCCAGAACTTACAATATTGCCCCTGTTAAATTCAAAATATGATACCTTCCAAAACTGTTGATTCTGAAGCTTCAGACCCACTCCATCCAACATTGGTCGGTGTTTTAGCATAGTTGAGGACATGGCCTGTAAAGCATGAGCCACAGCATAGACAGCATTGTAGACACTATAGCTATGGCCAGTCATTCTCATTTCAAAATAGAAAAAAGGAAGGTCCTTTAGCTTCTCTTTCCCTGTGCAAATATTCCCCTCCGTCTCACCCTGATTTGTATTTGGAAATACACAGTCAAAGGCATTTTTCCAGAAGTCCTTGATGAAACCATCTCCAGAAATGCTGTAAGGGTTTCTACCTTCTGCAAACTGGTGAAATCCTGTCAGATCTTTGAACTGATATGAGAAGGCTATAACATCATGGAATTTGTCTGTATCCCAATTCCTTTGATAGGAAAAAGATGTGAGCTCCATCTGAGCTGTAGTTATCCAAATTTTGCCTTTTGGTTTCTTTGTCAGGTGCTCTATATCTGACAGATATGGCAACCACCTGAAATAGGACAAAGAAAAGGATTCTCCATAAGCCAGAATTACATTGGCTTTGCTGTTCATCACTTTAAAATTTATTTCTTTCCCCCGATTCACCATACTTGCAATGTCAGAAATAAAAGCAGTTGTGGGAACTCTTTCTATGAAGGCAAAACAGACACCTTTCTGGGGAAACATTGGAAGCACGGTTTGCACAAATCTTTCTCCATCGTCAGTGTCCATAACAACAACCCCAATCCAAAACCATCGGAAGCACAGAAGCAAAGAGAGAATCCCCTCATACTGAAGCTCTTCCTTGGGAACCATCTGGTAGAAGGAAAGGCCTGGGTGTTTATCACGTATCACTGGAGCAGGGCTATATGTTAGCTGAAGATACATGTGAAGGTGAAATGGATTAGAAAATAAAAATAGCATTTAATTATCACTTCCAGTTGATCGAAGCATTTGAGATATGTTTATTTAGCTCATAGCTGCCATTGTCAATGAGTTTCAGATATGCTATAATTTTAATCATATTCTGGTACAGCAAATTGTATTTGCATGTATGCATATTATTGTTTTAATTGTTTGTGTATGAGAATGTCTTGATGGACTTGCAGTCAATAAACTTTGTTAGGTTTGACTTCAGCTTGAGTCAGACAGTTAGTATCACAAGTCCCATGCTGTGAAGCACGTTTTCAGCAAAGATTTGGCAGACACCCACACTTTTGACATTCAGGTGCCCATCAAAAATGTTTTTATGTCAACAGGCCTTTGCCGCTGTTCAGCTAGTCACTTTAATTATTATTTATAGGGGTTTTAATTAATTTTTAATTGTATACCTCACTGATTTTTACAAATAAATAAATAAATAAATAAATGCAAATATTTTGGGATGAATGCTCATTGCACAGCCAATGTAATGTAACCTCCACACAAGTTTTGTGCAACTGTATAATCATTAATGGTCAATAAACAACCAGTTTTTAAACTCCTCAAATTATTTATGGCACAAAATCTTCCTAGACACTTCTAGGAATAAAATGTAGGCCCACAGAAGAAGCTTCCAAAAATGTTCTGTTAACTTATTAATCAATTCACAGAGTGAGCTATCTGACAAAGAAAATGTATGAATAATTAATCTGTCATACACCACTCACATATCATACCTGTGGAACCTTGTAGACATCCAGAATAGTTGCCATATCGAGAGATGTTTGGGAGTCCAGTCCACCAATTACTGCAGTTAGCTTATTCTGTAGATCACAGTTGTAGTTTGGAAAAAATCTTTCCAATGTGTAAGTAAGCAACATTGTGGAAATATAGGTCCACTTAGCATAGTAATAGTTGTCATAAATGCAGAAACCCAAGGTAATGTTGGGTAAGATATGAGGGTTTTCATTAATCTCCATTACTGCAAAGGCCAAGGCCAGGATGTTCTGGTAATTCTTAGGCAATACTCTACAATGAGAGTCAGATTCTGTATCAGAAGCATATTGCACAAGCATAATTGCTATGAAGGAAATAATTAGCTTTAGTAATATATAAATACTAAATCAATAACAATAAGCATGACTCCTGGACTTGAGATGACCCACAACAAAGAATAGATGCTTCCAGGTTGCAATGCTTCACTCTCATTCAAGATGTGCAGGCCTTACATATATTTGAATTCATATTCAAAATCTGATAATTTCTTCTTATAAATCCTATACAGTAATTTCTTCAATAGCAATAATGATATTGGTATTCCACATTTTATGAATTTTATCCTAAGTTAGCTACTCAGAGAAGACCCATTGAACCCAATGGACAGGACTCAGGCTCGTTAATTCCAATGAGTCTATTCTGAAAAGGACTTAGCTGGACACAACTCTAACTATTTACCAAGTTGCTTATGAATATATTGTCAATAGAACTGTCAACAGGACTGTCGACAGATGAAACTACAGTAAGTCTCAGAAATACCAGAAGGAATGGAAACTGGCAGTAAAGCTCTAAGGGTGAGGGAGAAATCTCACAGTATCATAAATCTAATCAAGGACTGATTATGTCACACGCTTCTGGTGAAACCAAGTTTCTTAAAGCGTTACATGAACACTAAAGAGATATAATACAAGAAGGTTTTGAAAAGCAGCTACAGTGTAGGAATGGTAGAGTTGATAAGTGAATACTTTCCCTTATCAGTAAATAAATCTGGGAGACTATTCATAATGCAAAAAAGAAGTTTTGAAAGAAGTTAAACCACTTTCCCCATCTTGATGATCCCAATCCATACCAGACCTACCAGATCCCAATCCATACCAGACCTACATGTAAATCTGGTTTGACAATATAGAATTAAGCAGCCTTTTGTACCCAAAATATAAGGTATCCTTTAATTTATTTGAACAGCCTCAGCTAATACGTCACAGTTCAGAGGCTGTGACTCTAGCACGGACCAATCTACTGTCAAAACAAATGGAACTAAGACAAGCAAGAGTTAAATCCTTACATAAGATCCTCCAAAGGTGGCGATGGAGGTTCTTCGGTGAATTCAATCGAATAGGCAATAAAGCCACCATATGAAGCAATCCCTCCAATGATGAGGTCTCCTAACTGATGATACTTGTGAAGAGGATAGTGTGGATACTGGATCCTGCATTTCACAGTGTGAGCCTTGTATGGCATGTGAGGAATCAGTATCAGCAGTAGCACTAGAACCATCCTGCACAAGGATGCAAATATTCCTTCTACATAAATATTTCCCTGTTTAAGTTTATAACATTGCCACAGCAGTCTGCTTGATTAGAGTGGTGCGCATTGAATGTTTAGAGTGTTCTCAGGCCAACGATGTCAAATGCAAGACCCCCATAAGCAGGCTGGTGAATAAATGCATCTTTCTAATCCCTAATAATCCCTCTAAGTGTTATATGGTGGTTTATATGACAATTGCCACATAGTGTTATTAATTTTAATAATGGAACTAAAATTACAAAGGGGTTGTTCACAAGCAGTGGTTAATTATAGTCTGAACAATAATAGTAATAAAAGGATAGTAATCAGAAATTCAAAGTTGTAAATTCCCTATGGGATTCCTAAAGGATACATGTTTGCTACATCTGAACAGGATTTTTTCTTTTGCATGTAGTTTAATAGGAAATGATTTCTGGCCTTGGGATTACCTACAACAAAGAATGAATACTAGACATACAAGCCTTCAGTCTACAGCTACAAAAGAAATTAATGTATTCATTGATAGCACTGACTATGGCAGAATAGAACAGGACTATTATTTTTTTAAAGATATTTATTAGAATTTTCAATTTTTATACAAACAAAGAGAAAAAGGCAAAAAAGAAAAAAGATAAATATTAAAAACACATAACTTACACAACTTATTTTTCAATAACATGTTTCCCTGACCTCCTCATACCTCCCCTTCTTGTATTTCCAGTTCGAATTATTTGTTCAGCAAATCCTTATCTCAAAGCATTACAGCCTTATTTTCTAACCAACATCTTGGGTTATTATAACCTTAAATTTTTACTTGTAAAAAACCATTTTTTCATATTCCTTTATACCATTACAGCTAGAAACCACTTAATTTCCATCCAACATCATTCAACAGTCTTTAATTTTACAATATTTCTGTAAATTGTCCTTAAATTTTCCCCAATCTTCTTCTGCCGACTCTTCTCCCTGGTCACGGATTCTGCCTGTCATTTTTGCTAATCTAGAACAGGACTATTACTTCCATTGAACTGGACACTTTTGTTGATGCAGCCTAAAGGTAAAGGTACCCCTGCCCGTACGGGCCAGTCTTGACAGACTTTAGGGTTGTGCGCCCATCTCACTCTATAGGCCAGGGGCCAGCGCTGTCCGAAGACACTTCCGGGTCACGTGGCCAGCGTGACATCGCTGCTCTGGCGAGCCAGAGCCGCACACGGAAACACTGTTTACCTTCCCGCTAGTAAGCGGTCCCTATTTATCTACTTGCACCCCGGAGGTGCTTCCGAACTGCTAGGTTGGCAGGCGCTGGGACCAAGTAACGGGAGCGCACCCCGCCGCGGGGATTCGAACCGCCGACCTTTCGATCGGCAAGCCCTAGGCGCTGAGGCTTTTACCCACAGCGCCACCCGCGTCCCTGATGCAGCCTAGAATAGGCTTTTTTTTTTTTTTGCAGCTGCATCACACTGTTGAGTCATATGAAATTTGTGGTCTACTAAGACCCCTAGATCCTTTTCACATGCACTACTGGCAAGCCAGATGTGTTAAGGATAATTGCTTAATTAACATTGAAATGGGTAATGCCTAAATGTGTATTACTGATGGCTTTAATGTGGAGAAATTCCATTGAAGTATACAAAGTGGTCTCTGAATTCCTTGATGGGTTGATAATTAAATGCTGTTGTTCTCTAGTAGATAATTCATGAGAGATTAACCTTAGATCACATGGGAGGCTATTGAACTGCAAATTCACCATCATGCTGGTGGCTGAGTCTTTTTTTCTCAGGCTTTGTGGGAATAAGAAGCCTCTCTGGGAGCTCAACAGCCTTAAGGGTTGGAATGCAGGCTATTGGAGCTTATGTGAGACAGAGCTATTTTCGTCAACTCTGATTATAAATTCTTTTATTTCTAAGATGCTGAGCCTGTGCTAGACAGCACAATTCTTGTGTGGAATTATTTGGATGTACCTTCGATGTTTTTGTTTTGTTTTGAAGAAAGTTCTGCAAGTGAAGTTTAGAGCAATCTAATGGATCTGGACATTGTTTCATTCCAAAAGGAGTCAGTTTTTTTGCATCTAGTTGCCTCATGCTGCACAATATCTGCAATAGGATGTCCCCATCTTATATTTGTGCATCTGGTCCTTCCTGCGTGTAGAACTTTACATTTGTCCCTATTGAAATTCTTGGTATTAGCTTGGGTCCACGTCTCCAGTCTGTTAAGGTCATCTTGAATGACATGCTAGTTCTTCCTCTTGCTTCAAATATAGCTGAAGAATTTTTAGTATTATTTTTAACCACTCTTGCAAGCATGAGCTGATTCTGAGTTTTGGCCTGGTTGACCTTCTCTCTTCAACTGTTGGCTAGACATATATACTCTTCCTTCATGATTTCCCCTTTCTTCCATTTCTTATGCATGCCCTTCTTAAACCTCGGCCTTATGCAGCCACACTAGTTTCTTCAGATGCCTCCCACTTTTCTTTCTTGTGCCCTATGCCAGCTTAGGCTGGCTCAGGCACACTGTCAAAAACAGCTTGGATTAGAGGTAATTCATGCTGGCTTCCTAAAGTTATGATAGTTCTGTAAGAGAGCTGGCATATATATGAAGCTGGTATAAATTAGGTTGGTGTAACTTCCACTGGCAGAGGTAACCACTACTCCCAGTTTTGTTCAGGAGACGCTGGGAGGCACTACTGTTGCCATAGCAGGCAGATGAGTGAGAACCCTAGCTTTAAGGTTTTTATGACCAAACAGTATAGAAATAAATAAATAAATGCATATATTAGATTAGGGCATTATGCTATCATATGTCTGACTTTTATGACAGTCCATTGAATCCAAACTTCTGTGAATCCAAACTTCTAAACATGTCTGAAATCTATGGAATTTATGGAATGCATGAAGAATTTGAAAAAGAGCCTTGAGGAAAGTGAGTTGGTATATATTCATAATGCTGTTTCTTACAGCGACACATGAAAATATATTACATAAATGCAACAAACACCACTGTATCATAGGCAATAACCAAGACACAGACAAGGACTTTCTTTAAGACTTTCTTCTTATTAGCAGGCCCCTGTCATTCAGCTCAGGCCTCAACAAAATAATGTAACATTTTGGAGAAAAGATACAGCCCAGCAGCCCAGCACTAGAGGTTAAGATAGAAAAGATCTCCACTGCTACCATGTATTTCCCTTTAGTGCTCAAGTAAGTTGGAACAAAAGATAACCAAACACTGCAGAAGACCAGCATACTGAAAGTGATAAACTTGGCTTCATTGAAACTGTCAGGTAACTTCCTGGCAAAGAAAGCTACAGTAAAACTAACAATAGCCAGGAAGCCCATGTAGCCAAGAACACAGTAAAACATAGTTACAGAGCTCTCATTACATTCTAGTATAATTTCATCAGACACAGAGTGTGTGTCAACATCTGGAAATGGAGGATTAGTTGCCAGCCACACAAGGCAGGTGCCTGCTTGAATGACAGAACAGGAGATGACAATGGAGTAGGCAAGGCTTCTCCCAATCCATTTCTTCACCTTAGACCCTGGCTTAGTGGCCATGAAAGCCAGGACAACTATGATGGTTTTTGCCAGCACACAAGAAACAGCCACAGAGAAGATGATGCCAAAAGCAGTTTGCCGGAGGAGACATGTCACCTTCCAAGGTTTGCCAATGAATAGCAATGCACAAATGAAGCAGAATAGGAGAATGTAGGTGAGGTCCCGGTTGTTGGCTTTGACAATAGGGGTGTCATGGTGCTTCATAAAGGTCACTAGGACAAGAGCTGTGATCAAACAAAGGCTCTTCAAATGTCAGGTAGCTTACATTCTTGGGAATACACAAATCTCTGTTTTTGTTTGGATAATTTTCATCTGTGCATTCATAACAATCACTCAAATCTGGAAAAGAATAAAATAGTGATTTACCTATCACTACCTTAGTGATAAGTGGTACACATCTCATCAAAGATTGATAGATAGATGATAAATAGATGACAGATAAATGATAGATATAGATAGATAGATAGATAGATAGATAGATAGATAGATAGATGATAGATAGATAGATAGATAGATGATAGATAGATAGATAGATAGATGATAGATAGATAGAGATAGATGATAGATGATAGATAGATAGATAGATAGATAGATGATAGATAGATAGATAGATAGATAGATGATAGATAGATAGATATAGATAGATAGATAGATAGATAGATAGATAGATAGATAGATAGATGATAGATAGATAGATGATAGATAGATAGATATAGATAGATGATAGATGAGATATAATAGATAGATAGCTATAGATGATAGATAGATAGATAGATAGATAGATAGATAGATAGATGATAGATGATAGATAGATAGATAGATGATAGATAGATGATAGATAGATCGATAGATCATCGATAGATAGATCGATAGATACAAGATAGATGATAGAGGCCCAGTTTTCTAAGTGTAGCTTTTTCAAGATACAAGTTCATAATGAGTTTATTATTTATACCTAACACTTATATTTAAAAGAATTGAGGTAGCTTACAGCCAAAAGAATAAATTGTTTGTGTGTGTAAAAGAGATATAGGGAGTAGACATCATCGCACTGAGAGCAGGAAGGTTCAATCCTGTGGTGTTCAGCTTCTTAACAAGGGTGCTCCCAACAGAGAAGCCCCTAGTGAAGGAGCAGCAGGTAGGATTGAATCTTATACTTAGTAAAGGATCTGATTTGCATGGAGCATATTATTCCTCTTGCACAAGTACCTCCCCAGGAGGGATGACTCGTAGGAAGGAGGAGCAACCTGAATCCTGTAGGGTGGAATCACTTGCTTACCAGCTGCTAAGTGAAGGATTTCATCCTGCATGGTATTGCATTAAGGGGTGGTGCGGTGACCATGAAGAGGGAGATAATAGCCAGGAAAGAGAAGCTAAATGAGAAAGCCTGCATCCCAAATTCCAACAGCTTCCCCACCCCACCCCATCCCTACCTTC